TTCAAACGTGTAGTTGTTTTCTTATTATGGTTTTAACAGAAAAGTATTTGACGTGCTATCTCATATAGCTAATAAGTTTTGCCTTTCTTCAAATAATATCCCGTGAGGGAGCTTTAAAAAAATAATATTCGCACTACACAGTACAAAAACTCGATGCTACACAATTTATATATATATATTTTTTCAAATAAACTCTTGTTATGTTTTAAAGATAAAAAATAATGCTACATCTTTATTTAGGTTAAATATTAATCATGTATAATTTTCGTATCCAACCTTTAGAAACAGCGATCATTGTCTCTAAGTTTACGCTTTGTAATACTTAAATAAAACGCTCTTATTAAAAGGGGGCAAGATTCTTTCCTATTCAGACCCAAAGAAATAATCTTTAAGAGATTCTTATCACTATAAAAAAATATATAAAAAAACCAGTGTTTGCCAATATTTTAAAACTCATACAAATTATTATACTATTCACATGTACTCAAACTATAGACCAGTTTTGAAGTAGACAGACTAAAACTGGTTACTCAGCGAACCATCTTTGAGTTATTTATGGCCAATACTACAGAAAGAATCGACCCCTGCCCTGCGGCAAATGCGCTATCTATGTATGTTCAAACTAATTGTCCTTAGTACAGAAATCAACGATTGTACCATATTATTGCTCTAAAATATGTTTGAAGTACACAATGTTATTATATATGAATTTGTTTATATATTACATTGATCACCGCACTTGTGGATTTGCAAATAAGCGTGATAGAGGAAAATTAAAATCTTTTAATTATGTTCAAATATTAAATATTTTAAAGATATATCAATTTAATAAGAAGTTTCATCAATATTTTAAGTATTTAAAAATTATCGTCATAAAATTTTGTTTATTAAACCTTATTTTTTGGACGTGAAACACTTATTTAAACATTGTGGCCCTGATCCATGCAAAGCCCAGACAGCTCAATCGAGAAGTCCGGCAGAACTTTACAAACTGCACACCAGGATCTTGTCTAGTTGGTTGTTTAATTGAACTTTTACAGCCATGAAACTTTTCGTGGGCTGATAGCCCTCTGTAAAACCCTGAAACCTGGAGAGAGCAACAAGCAAACAGTACACACTGTACTCTTTACTTGAAAGAATGCCGTAGCAACTGCTTCAGACCTGAACCACAAAAGTAAACTTGTGTAGTTTGTAAAAGAGATGCCAGCTTCTGGTTCAAGGCTGGTAAAAAATATGTTGAGAGAATAAACGAAAAACTATGAGTAGTACTCTATCTCGGTGAAATCACACGTTAATTTTCAAGCAGGAGATAGTGTGGTATTTGTTATGTCACCTTCACATCCTATGATGCTAGGTTCTAGCCCGGATCTCCTTTAACACATTGCAATTTTTATAATAATTTTGCGTTGGTAACTTATTTCGAGAATAGAAATATGTTGAAAAACACATGAGTGAAACGCATCGTTTCACAATCGATATAAACTGTAACAACTTATTGTATATTGTTTAAATTATAGAATGTTGTTGAAAGTATTTGAGTGCAACCATAGGACAAGATACATACCAACCCTTAGTAATAACCATCCCACGAACATAGGATGGATCATGTTATAGAATTAAAGCAAACTTTATTTAGTAAGTAGCCTTCGGTGCAACAGGTTTGGTCATTTTGGGTCAACTCCATTGTTGAATATTTCCATTCATATCAATACAAAGACCGTTTCCTCTCCCATTGCAAACTCAAAGCCAAGTATGCAATAAGCATTTTAAGCTTATACGCCAACCCCGTACGAAGGACGGGTACTCTGCTAGTAAATTTATAGATAAAATAATTTATTTATTCATTGCAGTTTATAAATTTCAAATTTATAAACATTTACGACCATCGAGTAAGGCTATACAGATATTTGCTACACTTTAAAACCCCGCCTCTGGTTTTAACGTTTCACTCAAAATAATCGTAAGTTTTAAAGATGCCGCTTGAAACTCGTTTTGAAATTCCATTAAGAGAGAATGACGCCCGACAATGTTCGCTGTAACATTTACATCGATTGTGCTTCCCTACCTTGACGACGGACGAGCGCGTGAACAAATGTTTTGATAACTACGAAACATGAAACATTTACATCGATTGTGGTTCCCTACCTTGACGACAGACGAGCAAGTGAACAAATGTTTTGATAACTACAAAACATGAAACATTTACATCGATTGTGGTTCCCTACCTTGACGACAGACGAGCAAGTGAACAAATGTTTTGATAACTACAAAACATGAAACATTTACATCGATTGTGGTTCCCTACCTTGACGACAGACAACACGTGAACAAATGTTTTGATAACTACAAAACATGAAACATTAATCACGATTGTGATTATTACCCGTATTTTATTTGAAGTTAATCGATAGAGAATGTACTAAGTTACTTACTTTAATGATAAAAAATCATAACATTTATTTTAATAATAGTCTCATACTTAAAATATAAATAGTTATAAGAATTTTTTATTTCAATTAGAGTCTTTAATAATTAACTCATAAACAACAAATAAAACATTTAATTTACCTATTACTTCCCTCAATATTTACAGGCAATCAAAAACCTTGGTCTTAATTATGTTAAAAACTTAATGAGAGTATAAAAATGTAGTCTATTATTTATAAGATATTAGTTATTATATATTCTTTATAGAAACTAACTTAATTACAAAATATATTCGAGAAAACCTTTATACCTTATATGTAGACTGAGAGAATAGGGAATATTGATAAGGATTGCTATCTTCTGGTTGTAATAAGGACTACGGATAGAAAAAAGGGATTTTTGTTTTGATTCTTTTTCGCATAATATGGCAGAAAAATTGTTTGTTCATATTGATGATTGCCTTATCTCGTTGAAAACTTGAAAAACATATTCCTACAATTTCTTGATTTCATTAATACTAAAAAAATTAACAACATTTACATTGATTGTGATCTTACTGCTTTTCAAAAGGTCAAACAAACAATTATTTATGTCTTTTAGTGATAAATAAATGTATAAATTTCCTACTTTAACACGAGATGATCAAAAGATTATTTTCAGTACTTCTGTCGCTTCCGTATTCAAACAACAGAACTCTAACATCGGTTGCTAACTTAATCATTTGGCGTGAGGTGTACAAGAGAAGGTTTGTATCGATTGTGGATCGCTACCTTGACGAGCGACGAACAAGATCTATTTACAGTTACGTTTTCTCTACCTCGTCAATATTTAAAAACAAAATTTTAAATCTATTAAAATCTTCGTCATTCCATGACAAGTGAACGATGCTATTACCAAAACTATTTGAGAAAATTGGTATCGATTGTGGTCTCCGGCCTCTTAGACAAGAGGCAAATACGAAATTCTGCACTGACGGCTACCTTGTCTCAATTTGTATAACATGGTTTTACATCACCTCAGTTGCTAACTTGTTAATTTTGACGAGAGGTGACCAAGAGTTACATCAATCGTAGTTTTCTATTCAGACGTTTGAAAAAATAGAGAATTGTACCATTTCTCTGCTTGTCTATATTTTTCATGATACTTTTAAAATCTGTTGCAGACTTTATCGCTTCGTGAGATGTCAACCATACTACTAAAACGACGAGAATTTCATCAAAGATATCAATAATGTCAACGATAAATCTGGACAATTTGATCAGTTGTGGTCTCCTACCTTTACGAAAGATGGACAAGATATTATTTATAGCTACCATATCCTCCACCTGATATAGTAATACAACTTCCACATCGGTTGTTAACTTGATCAATTGAACAGAGGAGTGCGAGCGAACATATCGATCGTGTTACGACGAGATACAGATAAGCATCCTATATCCTGTATAGAGGTAAGTTATGTTGTGTTTTAAAAGTTTTACTGGTCAAATAATAGAGTCAAAAGTAATTTTTTAATTTGTTGAAAGTTTGATCGTTTCTTGAAAAGTTAAAAATAGAAAAAGTTTGTGATGCTTCTATTGTTTTTAAAACGGCACTGGTGTAGACATTGAATATGAGAACGCTTATACCGATTGTGCTTCCCTTGCTGAAGATAAGAAATTATATACAGGTAGCATCCAATCTACCTACCTTAAATACAAAAATGAGCTTTATAAATTGGTTTCAAATTAGCTCTTCTGACGTAAAGTGAACAAAAGCAAATCCATATTGATTGTGTGATTTCCTAACTTTACGAGGAATATACAAGAAATTGTTCCTGTGCCTCTACCATATCTAGATATTGTACAACAGAACTTTTACATCGCTTGCTAGAGGTGAGGGAGAGACCGAGAGGCCGTTTATATCGATTGTGGTCCCCTACCTTGACGAGGAGAGGAACAAGAGAACATTTACAAGTTACAACAGAACGCCGAGAGCGGAACACTAATTACTAGCTGTGTCGCTTTAGTTCCTTGTACAAGCTTAGGCTCGAGTTACAAGAGGGGGTTGAAAGAAGCAGCGTCCTTTGTTAAAATCGCACGCTGTAGAATCATCACGCACAAAGTATACAGTTTTATGCGGGCCTCATTAAAACTCTGCGATAATTTAGCAGTTTGTTCGTTTTAACGCTTCAATATTATCGGTCTCACTTGATTATATATCAAAAATATGCTCTGTATTTTAAATAATTTCATTGAGTTAGCGATTATTGTTGATTAGCTGAGATATATATTCAAAGAGTTATATTCTTACAAAACCTCCTTCTTCCTTCAAAATTTCATTTACGCCTTATTATTCTGTTAAAATACTTGTGTCTAATTTTAATCACTATCTCAACTATGAATCTTATTTGCAAATATATTTCGTAAACAATACTCAACAAAACCCTTCCAAAATGTAATTTCTTGCATTATTAGGGTTTATAGGATATCGGAAACAGTTTTAAACGACAAACAAGTTATCCTAGACCCGCCAATCATGATCCGACCGCACCCGAAGCGCTATGTACTAAGTAAGATAAGTATATATGAACTCACCTCTTGTGTCCTTCGTAAACGCTAGGTCACCACTACCCGGGCCGCGATACGGTCGAACCCCTGTCGACCCTTCGGTAAAGTCCGCCGCAGTTCGGGAACCTTCGCCCCACCTCGGGTAACCTCGGCTCCTCCCGCACCACCCCCTTATGACGGGTCTTTACATACTCTGTTACAATACAAATTGAAACGGATGCCTTCCTTGGTAGATTGATGGTGTGGATGACTGAGATGTTATTAATTTGTCGATCCCATCTAGGTGATTGTTAACGCCACAGGGTTGGATATTAGAGGATAAATTGTGTCGTTGATTACTAAGGCATATTTAATTGGTTATTTACAGTTTCCTCTGTTGGTTTTTAAGAAGTATGGATAGCTAAAATTATTTAAAATGGTCACAAATAAAGTAACTGGAATAAAATGGTTAAAATATAATTTGTACATAAAGGGAAGTAAAGTGGTTCATACATTATTCATCTGTATTGCAGAATACTCCCAGAGGTCCTTGATAGTTTATTGTTTTGGGTTAAAACTATACGATGTGTTCATTGTTTGTACAGCTTCAAACTTTGTCTACTATTATGTTATAAATTTATAATACTACATGAGAAAATAATTACAATACTAACCATAGAATATTAATATAACAAACATAAAATATATTTATTTAAATTAACTAAATGAATGATTATTTATTATTTATTTACATTTATTTATTTTGATTAATTAATTTATTTATTGTAATTATATATGTATATATATAGGTTAGTCTAAAATATTCGTTATGGTCTATTTTTGTGTTTATAGTTAAGCTGTTTTATATTGCGAAATATAAATAATCATTCTGGAGTGAATTGAGTAAAAGTGGTTAGACTAGACACACTAATTAAATTCTGGTTCTTTTAATACTTTTTATAGTATAAATGACAAAGTTTAAATTTGTGTACTTTTTTTATTCATATTTAGTTTTTAAGAATACTTTTATGATTTTATAAACGCATTAATTTCACATTTAAGAACTTAACAGTTATTTGGTGGTTACAATGTGTTATTAATTTTTTCTTCATGGTAATTTTACTTTTAAAATCTTTAATGAAACTAAAAATGCTTAGATTAGTTATCAACAAAGTTATAGCTCCTCAGCTGTACTTGTAATTGAAAGAAACTCACAACTCAGTAAGTTTGTAATAGCGAAATTCTTGACCAAGATCGCAATTTAACTTATATCTTACAGAAACTATTGTTGGTGTCAAATATTGCTCTATGGTTTGGGCCATTGTCCACATTTTTTACTTCGTTCTCTATCTACTGTTTTCTGATTGAAAAATTATAATTTGTACTGTATAGGGTTGATACGAATACAGATCGTCTTACGTTGTTTTAAAAACACAAACGTATAAATTTTATCATGATTAGGACTAAAGATACAAAAAACAGTAATATTATTTAAAGAAATGGAGATTGAAGTTTTTAAATTAGGTAGATAGTTCATTCATTAGGCTATGTTAAAGTGAGCTAAATTTTATTGATTTGGAGTGTCGAAAATGAATAAATTATAAAATCATGTACTACTTACTGCTATAATAAATTGGGTTTATTGAAGTATTCCAATATGAAGATTAAAGTACAGTTTCTATAATAATATAATATACATTTCAACAAAAAAGAAGTATATTCTACTGTTTCAAAGCTATAGTATGCAACTCTAATGTCAATAAATACGTAATTTATCATCTTTATTATGTCAGAGTGTCAGTGGCTGTTTTGTCATTCCTTTAAAATGTCTGATCTATGTTTAAATGATGTAAATGTTGTAAGCACTGGTTTTTGCTCATTTGAAATCAAATAAATATTGAATTTCGATTCAATAGTTATTACTTACCCTATAGGTTATACTTTTATGTTATGTAGACCTTTATTGATAGTCAGTAGGCCCAATATGTTTAATCGCTTGGCAAAATGTAGAAGAAGGAAAAGTGTATATTGAAAGGGGAATTTTTAATAAATTTCTTGGAAATAAATACCTCTGATACTCAATTCACAAACAGCTCTCATTTTTTAGCAGTCCGTAAGCCCTAGTTTCCCCTAAATTATACCCTCTTAAGTGGAGTATTAAGTTAATGTACAACGCACCAATACTCCTTAGAATATTATGTATTACACTGGTGGTGCTATAAGATTGTAACTTTGTTTGAAAGAAAAACACGTATAGTCAGTAAATTATTGAATCTAGGAGTCTGCATGTACTGGCATGTTCGCCATGTAGTTTAGGTTCTAAAATAATTACGATTTCACTACGGAATAATGCTAGTGTGAAAGCCATTTATACAAAAATAGGCATTACTCACCTAGGATTACCTTCCAAGATGTTTTAGGAATGTTACTTAATTATTCTTGTCGATACTAAAGTATTTTATAATTTTATTTAATTATTCTTCATTTGTGCCTTCTAGCAGATAAACTATCATTAAATAGTAGTTTACGCAACGATTGCGTTAAGTGAGTCTTTACGACACGAGTAGAAAATTTAAGGCACGAGCCTTGGCGAGTGCCTTAAAAACTTCTACGAGTGTCGTAAAGACTATTAACGCGAGTTGCGTACACTACTTTACCTACGACCGTTTTTTAATTATTATCAATCTGGATTTAATTACTAACAATAACTACTGATTTTAGAGAGGTTATGTTTTCGTGTATTGTCATTGCCACTGAAAGTGATGCAACGACTTGTTGTATAATCAGCTGATTTCCCGTAATTACGTGTTTGTTAAACTTCGTTAAATATTACATTGCTAGCAGCATTCTTACCATAAATAATATTGTATCAGGTACAATTCGGCAAATATTTCATTTATTTTTGGACTTCCACCAATTTAATTAAGAATACGCGTGTATCAACATGAACAAGTCGGATAAACAATTAAATTGGTCAACTGATCAGCTGATCAGCTGATTAGTTGACGTTCGAAACATTACAATTTTAATTCTTTTCTCTCAATACTTGAACCTCATTGGTCCGTTACCTGTGTGGATATGAGAAAACTATGCTGATATGAAAGTAAACAGCTGTAAAGTGAAACTTTTCAATTCTAAGAACTGGACTGAAATGGCTACTTTAAAAAACGGTCGTAGGTAAAATACTTTAACCATTAGGTAAAGTTGAGTTGTTTATTTTTAATTCAGTAAACTCAACAAAATATCCCAAAGGCTCGACATAATAGGAAACAATTCTGGTGGTGGTTAGTTTATTTCGATAAAGACTATAAAATTTCCACAGATTATGTTTTACATCTATCCCATGGCGACAGCTCCCAGTGATATGTGATTTACTCTGCAAAGTTATTATGTGTAGTTGGCACACAATAAAGATTCTTTGGCACTGGACCCCTAGGATGTGAAGATAAATTATCATTGCAATGGGATGAGGAGGAAACAACGTTGTTTGATATCAATCATGTTTCTTGAGTCTAATGAAATCACAATCTCTTCAAACATATGAGGAAAACTCGTCAAAATATACCCCAAGATAACGTTCAGATCGGTCTGTTTTAAACTTAGTCTGTTGATAACTATATGTATATATTTTTTTACTTGTACTGTACTTGTGTACTACAAAATGTCCATTAATTTAATAAGTGTTATCTAACAGTTTAAAAGGTTTTGGGAATCAAGACAGAAATATAATAAATTTCAAGAATGATATAAATGCTGTACAAGCACTTATTGGAACAATTCACCACTTTTGTAGCTTTGATATTTTAGGAGGTGGCATATTTAGCCTTAAAATTGTCAGCAATCTAAATCGTTTCTTTACTTCTTTTCTTTCTGTCAAACTGAAGACCATTAATATTTTGGGCTCCACGTCGGCTTAGTATTTATATGATCAAATACTTAAAACTTCCGAGGTAATAACTATCTGGTTCAAATCCAAGCGAAGTCGTTACTGGATCCATACGCTCTTTGACATTAACTATCAAATAAGCATGCTATTTTGAAAAAGGTTGACATTACAACCAGTGAAACTACCAGGGCTTTGATATTTCTCTTCAAAAACGACAGAGTTGTCAACTACATGATTAAACACGAAAACCGAATCAAACTCTTTTCTGGTGTGCAACAAAATAAATGTTAAATGAAGAAAAATTTGTATTTAAAAGCACACAACAAAAAAAACATAAAACAACAAAATATCACTTTTCAAATTAAATTTATAAGGTCTAAGAAAAGAACTTAAATAAACTGCAAGTGTTTAATCTCATCTTAAGAGTTGATTTTCATACGAAGCTTGATTTGTTGTCCACAGACAGCGTACCGGATTTAATTAAATTTATTTTTAGTTTTGTCTATATCAGTTTCAGCCGTTGGGCTACAGTTTCTTTATCATGATATACTTGACTATACTGTATATTTCAGAGAAAATGGAAACGTATGTAATGATTTCACTATCAAAACCTTTTACAGACTTAAGTACCCACACAGTGCAGTCTCATGTAAGATGTAACATGTGCACAGTACCATGTAAGATACGTTATCCGTTAAAGTTTTAAGAGGGTAATATTCAATTTCAACAAAGTTACAGAAATATACTTAGGCATTTTACTTACATATATATAGTTGTATATCTTAAAATGTTTATTAGCTTTAAATTTCTAAGGCAAGTCAAAATAATTACTTTTGAATATTTTATAACTTTTCCGAGTAATGATTGCATGGTAAATTCATATGAAAACTAGCGCAGCTTATTGGTCCAAGACATTCATTTCCGAGAGACTTAATGAACACGTAAAATTATTACTTAATACATTGATGCAAAGTAATAATTCAATCTTAAACGCAATATTTTATCATCAATTTGGCTTGAGCACGGCAGTTTCACATTTTTAAATATGTCATCTTTATCCAATATGTTTCTTTGTAAACAAATGCAAACGGACACGTGACATAAGAAGTCTTTAGACTATTTATGCGTACAAATTTTGTGTACAATGATATCCCTTACTAACAAAACACAAATGTACAAAATGATGAATGTGATATATAATC